GCAGGCCACAGCTACATGAAGGCAGCCAAACCTTATTAAGAGCTGCCCGGCAGGCTGGCAGTACTCCAGTGTGTTTCAGACTAGTACATGTACTTTAAGAGGAAAAACACTTTGGTTTAGTTGCTGACGTCTCCGAGTGTGCTTCATAAATCTCTCTTCCCGTTTCCCCTGCAGACTCTGAGAATGCCGCTGTGACGCTCTCCGCCCTGCTGGCCAGCCTCAACAGCTGCTGCAACCCCTGGATCTACATGATCTTCAGCGGTAACCTGCTGTCGGACTTAGCCCGCAGCCTGCCGTGCTGTTGCCACCTGCGAAACCGGTTCCACCACCAGGATTCGGACAGCAGCATCCGCCGGACCACGCTGCTGACCCGCCTGCAGGGTCAACGCCCTTCAGAGCCTGTCAGAGACCTCAACCACACCCCCAAAAGCTGCCCGCCAATCCCATCTGCATCCTGACCCCCAGAAACACTACCTTTGTGTGTTTATGTGTGTATGTGTGTGCGTGGTTAGTAAAACTGCAGCAGGTTTGCAGCAGTGAGGGAAGGTATGACATCATCTGAGGGTGCGTTCACACCTACCCTCTGTTTTTTTGTTCCAATCCAGTGGGAAAGTTTACTCCAAAGGACATTTTTGGTGTTTGGCTTGTTTGGGTTCACACAGCTGAAGTTTAATAACTCATTTCCAGTCTGCGGGGTTGGAGACTGTGGGGATAGTAAATAAGTGCTGTACAGTACAGGCAGTGTGGATGTATTTCACTTTGAATGCACTATTGGGTGTGTTTCCTTGGAGAGCTGCTCTCATTGAAGTATTTAAAGCATGTTTACGAGATCATTTTTTAAGACTTGAGGTTAAGTCTGGTGTTACTCTGCAGTCCTTGAATTAATTCATGTACAAATCCCTTCCCTCTCAAAAAAAAAAATGTTTGTCCGTTTCTGCTTCATACTTTCTCGCTTCTGCTTTCTCCCTCTGAACATACAAAACTTTAAAAAAAATATTTCCAGCTCTTAAAGCCTCAATAAAATCCTCTTTGTTGTGCTGTTTTCTAAATTTAACAATCAAACAGGAAAATAGTGCATTTTGGGGGGACTATTTTCAGTGGCGGATGAATTTGTCTACATTGGGATATCCATGACCTCACCTGATCTCATTCCGTATTTAATCAGTCAGTGCCTCTATCACAGTGTACTTAATGAAGCTATGAAGTTTAACCTTCATACTGTGAAATCATTGTTTTAAGAACGCTGGAGTGGAAAGGTACTTTATTAATAATTATTTAATTCTTTTAGTTATAAAATGTGGAAAGTTTGGGTTGAACTTTTTTTTTTTTCAAAATTAAAAAACCAAACAAACAAAAACACTTTCACAAAAGAAATTAGGTTAGAAAATCAACTCATATTTACCTTTAAGGAGCTGGAATGACTCTGGGACGTGTATCCACACTACCCTGCTTAAAATTGTAAATCCTAATTAAAAGTGCTATTTGTTCAGTATAATTAACACTGCCTCTGTGAACATCTGTTTAATTATTAATTTTTATTATGATGCTCTGATGCTCGCTCATGCTTTGCTGGCTTCTGTAGCAGCTTTGAGCCTCTTTAGAGACTCATTCTCAGATGTGTTTGTAGATATTGAAGATATTTCATGAGTGTGATGTTTTCTGTCATCTCTGTATTGCTCTAATATGTATTGCACGTGTTGTAAAGGCAGATAAAAGCTGTTGCTTGTGTCGTCACGTGATGTTCGACTGCTTTCTGTCTGTAACAGGAGGGTTTTATAGGTGATCACTTACCTGCTTTTAGTAACTTTCACTAAGTACAAAAGCAGTGAAGAGCTAAAGTAATGAAAAAATATTAGTTATAGATCTGTGGATTGATCCGGCCTGCATAAGTCAGTAATCTTTCATAAAGACTATTATGATCATCAGAGTTATGGGTTTCCTGCAGTGCCACCATAAAACTGGAATTTCAGGGGTTTTAAGTGAAATATCCAAACAATAAATTGAGGTTCTTCGTGATAGGATCAACCTTTTTCCTCTAGAACAGGGATCACAAATTCAGTGGCTTGCGTGAGAAACATGATATCATTTGAATTGATAAAGCTCAAGCATGTTTTGAGGCTCATGAAGATTTTTGTCTTTGCTCAAAAATGTTTCTTGATGGTATAACTGTTTCTGATCTAACCTCTTTAGATCTGGTTCTCTTTGTGCTCAGAGTCAACATGTTCTCCAGTGTGAGCGTGTCAGGGTTGAGCTTAATAGTGAAATATTTATATTTTCTGGCCACTTGGAGCACCAAAAAGCCAACAGTGTGAGCTCAGTGTAGCTCAGACGTTTATATGTTTAACAAACAAATGCTTATCTCCACATATTACAGCACAGCATTATCATCCATTTCCAGCTGTTTTTGTCTCTGTCTGATAAATGTATCAGGATCAGATAAAGACTTTCCTAAAGTGTAACCGTGGTGACATCATCAGCTGGTTTGTGAGACTGCATTTTGAGTGTTTTTGCTAAAGAGTGGACCTGAGTGACCCGAGTGACATCATGAACTCACTGCTCGAGAGTTGACGTGGTTTAACCAGCAGACGAAAGGGAAAAATGAGCACTCCTTAACTGGTTGCTGGAGGTTATAGAAAATGGCAACTGGTCTGCAAACACTGGCTAACTAGCAGCTTACCAACAACATTGGCATTCAAATGGCGTGACTATTACTTTGAACAAACATTTACTATTTCCAGTTTGCACTGTCCTTTTTAAAGTTTTACTGTCACTCAGCCGGTAGTTGGTGAGTCTCTGCAGACATGTCACCATCTTCCATGCAAACTAGAGGCGACTGTGGCAGCCAAAGTGACTGCAAGGAGGTTTTTGACAACCAGCTGGGGAACACACACAGACAATGAGTGTCACAGACGGGTTGGTCACCTGTTTGCAAAACCTCTGTATTTGTAGATGTGGTTTTAATTTAAGAGAGCCGTCTGTGAAACTGTAAAGTGATTGGCTAACACTTTGCCCATCTGGCCAAACAGGAATTTGGCCTTTAGGTGAAAATTACAGTTGGGATCAGCAGGGAGTTCAGCAGGGATTTTAAGTCCAGGAGTGATTACCTGATTTTCAGGTTCAAGATGTCTCCTGCAGTGTTTACTGTTACTGTTAGCACAAGACAGTTCTTGTCTCACACGTGGCACGTAAACGTGAGCTGCTTTTCTCTTAACAGCTGCAGGTGTTCTAATGATGCTGCTTTTCTGATGTTCAAACATTTCTGAGGTTCTCCATTTCTGACATTGCTCTGCAGTAACAATAGCAATTGTGATGGCGTGTTTTTGGTAGCTAAACAACAGATTGGTGCATGAATGGGTTTAACAGGAGATGGATATCGTTACTCTTGCATAAGGCCGAGATGCAGCAGGTGCAGCGGCCACTCACCAGATTTAAATGACTAAATTTATCAGCTCATGCCCGACAGCTGCCCAAGGACACTTCAGAAAATTACATGGGAATATTAAACTTCAGACTTTTTTTTTTCTCTGTGCAATATCTCGGCATAAGTATGCCTTTCATAAAAACACTTCAACAGGATTTTTCCTTGTTTTTTTACCTCACGCAGGGAAACAGGAGTAATTGGAAGCAGGTTGGCTGCATGACATGCAACAGATGTCTGAAATTGAAAACAAATAAAAAGGTTTCAGCGCTTCAATCAAAGAGTTCATCCTGTGATTTTTGATTCATTCCTTGCAGGAAAAGTGAGAGCCTCCAGGCTGAAGTGAACCCCTGAGAGGTGGCAATGAAAGGAACTATAATTTCCTGCCTGAGCCAACTTGATTAGTTTGAAAGCACCTACAAACCAGAACTTCAAAAGGTTCTTTGTGTACATGCTTAACACTCTTGTTCCAGGATCACATCACCCCCACTGACCTCTTAGAGATGTGTTTTTGTCTGATTTCTGCCGTGTAAACAGACACACAGAGCCAGTGCATAAAGGTGGATCTCAGATGAAAATTCAGACTGACTCTCATAACTCAGGACAGCTGAGGGGAAACAGGAATGCAAAAAATGCTTATCTTTACGCACCAGGGCCTCATATTTCAACCCAGGCTTGAGCCTGCAAATGTAAGGCAGCTCAGAGGCTTCATAGGAATCATATCTATGAAAACAAATCATAAAAAAGAAACACAGAGGGCAGACAGACCTATATCAGCAGCACTTGTTTTCCTAATTTGGTCAGTTGTCACCTGCAATCTAACCACAAAAGACATTTGATTTCATTTTAAAAATGTTCTCCAAGAAACTCTGGTAATTTATTCAAGTGAAGACTAAGTTTTTACTTATTTTCTATAAGCTGTTCTAACAGTGGATGTTCATATTACCCATGGCCAAAGTTTCTAATATTGAGGTGATTGTGTGTGAGAGTAATATCTTTGAGACAAATGCGTTTTTACATAGTTTTTTTCTACTCCTTGTCTGTCTGATGTCATAGAGAGGGCACGTCCCTAATACAGTCATCTCATTCATAGGCTGTATCCCAATTCAGGGTCTGCAGCCTTAAAGTACGCAGCCTCAACGATCCTCAAGGGCCGCGTACTCAAAGACCGCTGAGGCCGGAAGTGCGAGGCTTGTGAAATGAGACGGTCTAGCCTCCGTTGCGCTGCCCAGGTTGCCTAGCAACCATGATACTAACAGCTGGATACAGCTTTGTTTGACAGAAATGAAGGAGAAAATCTTTTGTTCATTTGTTTGTTTGTTTCTACATGAGCTTTGATCATTCTCTGTAAGATTAAGCTCAGCTATTGAACGGTGTATATTTTAAAGTAAAGGCTCAAGTTAGTACAAACGTCACTAATGTCACATAACTTTGCCGACATGTGGCCAACAGTGATGTTTTAATGTTCTTCGTTATTAAACATTTGCACATAAATAAGTGACATAATATTCAGTACTTACTTAAAGTTTACCCTCGCCCGCCGTTTTTTTCGGCAAAATTATCCACACCCACCGCCGTTTTCTTAAATGGGGAGGAGCTTAACCTGGGCACTGACATCAAGTATAAGGTAAAAAAGTATTATTTGTAACTGTGGATCACACAAAGCTGCTCTAGTACAGTCCAAGAATAAAATCTAGAGCTGGAAACAAGTTTCCAGAGACCACTCGATATCAAAGACAGCAGCTTATAGCAGTTGACATCAAACTGCATTCTGCGCATCAACAAATGATGTTCAATTCCTTCTAATAATCTCTCTTTATTGAAAAGAAATTAAGGAGCCATATAAAGCTGCATTCGTGCAATTTTCTGAGAAGGAGAAGTTTCTGACTTTAGTTGTTTATTTCTCGACCTCTTAGCTGTATTTGGTGACCCTATTGAGGGACCTGACCCATATGTTGTGAAGCATTGTGTATAAACTAATATTGAACATTAACAGAATTAATACTGATGTATTAACAGCCTCATATAGTCACATAAATGCATTTGTTATAAATTCATGAAGCGTTTTACACTGAATGCTTGCAGAGCAGTATTTGCAAAGCGGGCAGTAATTGTATATAAAACACTCAAACTGCTTGCTGCACTTTAAATCGTAACCACTGTGACAGGGTAAAGGGTTTGTTCACATGGTTACTGTAATTTCCTGTTCACTCTGAAGGCATTTCTACTGAGAATCAATCACTTTGTCTGTGGAGGACGCCATTTATGAAAGAGTTGAATGCGGGAAATCAGAGAAAGGAAGTGTATTATTAAAGGAAGGAAGCAAAGGTGAATGTGGCAAAGCAAGGCCGGTTTAAAAAAAAAAAGAAGAAAGAAAAAAGGAAGCTGCTTTCAGCATTAAAGACATTGGGCGAGGCTACATCCTGTGGTGGTATCTTTGCACAGATCACCCTGACTCCATTTCCTTGAACTGTGTTTAGTACGTGTGTCCATTTCCTACACACTCTTCCCCAGAGATCTTTTTTTTTCTTTTTTTTTTTTTACAGATTTTTCTTCTTCTGACAGAATTTCTGTTCCTGAAGAAAACTCAGAAAATCCCATCAGTGTGTAGAAATTATATTGTTACAGTCCCAGATGATCCCAGGGTCAGAGCTGGCCCACCAAAGTGAAGTCTCTGTGAAAACACCAAAACACACAAGAAAGAGTCAGTGATAGAGAAACTGTTAAAAGTCTGTTATTTCAGTTTAAGAAGAAAATCAGTGAGTCATCTTTGTATCCAACACTTATCTCTGAAAATGAAATGCTCGTGCCGGACCTCTCAGCTTCATGTAGTCTTATTATAATCATCTAGACTTATACCAAAGTAACAAACATTGACATAGATGGTGGCCACATACTGAACAATATTAGCTTGAATAACAGCTGGTGTTGTCATGTTAATAATGCCAATCTGGAAACACAGATGTAGTCAGAAGTTTACATCCACTCATCCTGAGCATGAATGGCATTTAATTTGGGACTTTTAATGAGTTCTTTGAACTTTTCTTTTTCCACAGTGGAATGATTGTACAGGATACAACTTTAATTACTTTAAAAGTTTAGTTTTTTGGGTCAGAGGTATGTATTTGTACATTTGTAGTTCATTAACAAGCTTCTGGCATAATTCTGGCTGGATATTTGACCACTCTTCTTGGTAGAATTGGTAAAGTTCACTTAAATTGATTGGTCCCCTGGCATGGACCCAGCTCTATGTGCAATCCACAAATTTTCAATAGGTTTGAGGCTTTGGGAAGGCCCTTCCACAAGCTTAATGTTAGCCCGCTTTATCGATTCCATAACCAGTTTTGGTTATTTGAGGTCATTGTCCTGTTGTATCCAAGTTTAAACTTCTAGCTGTTGATTTGAGGTAAAGTTGAAGAATTTGGAAGTAGTCCTCCTTCTTCATTATTCTAAGCATTTTGTGCAAAACAGTCCCAGTGCACGATGCTACTACCACCATGCCTGACAGGTGGTTACTGCTCTTAGGTTTGGAAGCCTCATCTTTACTCCTTTAAGCATACCTGTTGTCATTGTGGCCAAATAGCTCAAACTTCGTCTTGTCTGACCATAGAACTTTTCTCCAGAAGACACTTTGCTTGTATATGTGGGTAGCAGCAAGTATCATTCAAGAGTGAAGGTGTGGATTTTTTTTTAAGGACAGGCATCTTTACTGATCAGCTCTGTAACTTTGGATAGTGATGTGGTGTGACTGTCCACAGTGATGTGGAGTTCCAGCGGTTTCCAGGTCGTGGCAGGCTTGAGAACTGGTAGTTCTTGGATTGTTCCTGAACAAGAAAAGGGTGACAGTTTGGATTTTTTTGTCCAGACCTTGGTTAAGTTGTGACACATCTAAATAACATGTACTTACATACAGTTGTTTGAACTGATGATCTTTGAATCTGCAGTTGTTTAGAAATGTGTAAATCTACAGTTCTCCTTCTTAGATCTTCTGTGAATTCCTTGGACTTTCCCATTGTTCTGATCACTCCAACTAGCGCTGTCAAGAAAATCCTTTTTTATGCTGCAAAGATAAACTACCAGTAGTAGTCAATCATGCTTACAAATGAGAAGTTAACAGGCCTTGGCCTTCTCAAGTTAAGATACATTCTAGAAACCCTTATAAAAAGATTTAAGTGAGTGCATATATAATTTAGCCTGTACATGTCATTTTGACCCTGTGTGGATTAGTGAACCTCTTGTTTTTTCAAAAGTCATTAAAGATGTATGCCATACAGTCATTCCACCCTGAAACAAGAACAGTTCAAAATAACAATTAGAAGCTTAAAATTACCATCCAATGCCCATGTTCAGTTTATGTAAACCTCTAACCACGGCTGTACCTTTATTTTCTTCACATAGTTCAGTCAACTGGAGCAAGGCTCTGACGTCTGCAGGTTCCTTGGACTGTTGCATCAGTTCTATTAATCTTACTTCGTTGGAATAAGCATCATTGGCTGAAACACAGAAATGAGAGTTAGACCATCGAAGAGTTGCTGTGAGGTCAGGATCTGATCACTGTTGGTTTCTTACAAATGGACTCAGGCTGCAAAGCATTTAATATTTCCTCCAAGTCCAACACATGAGCTCTTGTTTTCTGCAATAAGTTGTCTTTGATTTGATCACGTATACTTATTGAAAACATTGACTGTAGAGGTATTGGTATAAAGATCTATCACCTCTCACATTTTAACTGGGCATTCTAAGCATCGCTGCAAACTGCCATATCAGGAGGTAATAACATTTTTAACTGAAAACACTTGCATTTTACTGCTGTGATGATCTGCCATATAAAAGGCCAAATGTCAGCCTGTCTGATTATGCATAGGCAGTGGAAGATCCACATTTTGATTTATAACAACCTTTCTGACAGCAACCGTAACGAGTCCTGTGGAAAGACGCCCACATAATCTGATCAGCCCAAAGCAATCTGAGTCTGCTGCATCCTGTGTGGGTGCTAAAAGGGTCATTCCGTAGCTTCATTTAGGATCTCCATCATCACTTTGGGCAGTTCAATCAAGCTTAAATCTGAAGATGCAGATGAGATCTTTCCAACCTGCTGCTTAGGGAATTTTTCCAGAACCCCACAGCATGAGAACTCTCTGGGTTTAAGAAATGTAGAAATGATCATTTTTTAAGGGTTCAACAGGTCACATTTACAAAAGAAAAAATGTAAATAATTAACCATAATAATGTAGAAATTCAATAGTGAAAATAAGTTCCTCCAGAAAACAGCACTTCCAGGATTACTCCGCAGGTTGATTGTCATAGATGCCTGAGAATGCTGGTGCCTCTAACTGGAAAAACAAGATTTTTTCTAACTCAACTTTTTGTTATTGATATTCTAAAAGCAATAATAACAATAGTAAAAACTTAGCCAGTGCTGTGTCTACATATAACAGACAACTAACAAATGAGCAGTTTTAAATTGTATCTTTAGGCTCTTTGTTACAAGCAAACACAATTTCTTCCAATTTATTTAGTTGAAGCTAGAAAAAATGCAAACGCTAACACAGTTTGACAGATATGAAATAGCATTTTTTCACCAACAAGAAGATTCCTAAAGAGCTATTAGCTGACAATTTTGCATATCTATGCATGGTGTGCAGTGCACCATTAAATATTTTTGAGGATGGTGGACAATTTGAGGACAAAAAAGAAGTAGCAGGCCTAAAAAAAATACCTACAGCAGTTGAACATTTGAGAAATGGGAAATAATCCAGCAAGGATGTGACACAGGACCTGAGAGATGCATCTGGCCTTTCAGTTGATCCATCTACTGTTCACTGAAGCCTCATCAGAAATTGTGTCAGTGGAAGGGTTGCTGTCAAGAAGTAAGTAAGGGAAACAGACATTAAAGGCTGGTGTATGCATTACACCAGTTTTTACTGAAATTCAGTAAAAACTGGTGTAATGAAGTGATGAATCCAAATGTGATACTTGTGGTTCAATCATCAGGAGAGAGCTAAAACATGGTGGAGGCTCTGTCATAGTTTGGGGCTCTATTTAAACCAGTGTTGATGAAATTATGATCGGAGAAACGTACCATCAGATTTTAGCCCATCTTACAATACCATATGGAAAACACCTGATTGTCAAAGGCATCAATTTCCAAAGAAGACCTTTGAATGTCCTTTAAGAAGCCTGGAGAATTGTTCCTGAGGACTGTTTAAGGAAATTATAAGAAAGCTGACTCAGAGAGTTCAGACTGTGCTGAAAGGTTGCCACACTAAATATCAACTTTCAAGCCCAGAATTATTTAAACTCTGTTTTCCCTGATATACTGCATTACTATGTATGTTTGCACATTTCAATAAATCATTGCACATATTTCCTCTTTTCAAGAGTTCAAAAGCTTTGCACAGTACTGTTTAATAGTACGTAAGTATGATATAATATATATATTAGATCTAGAAGCGGCACAGTGATGGACTGCATAGTTTCAATATGCAGAAGTAATACTGGTCCACATAGAAGAAAAACTCAATGATTAAAAGTGGGTCTTAAACTGACAGGTCATCATAAAAATGTAGTTTTATTTTTCTGAAATATTTTCTGTCGGGGTAGAAAAGGAGCAACAGTGCGCTGATACTTCACCCAAATCTTTGGAAAAGCCACAAAGCAAAAAGAATTATGCGGGGAACAGCACCCTCTGGAGGTTATAAGACAGAACTACAATTTGTATCTGGTATTTGGGCAAGTGGTGAGTTTAAATATTCCGTGTATTTATAATTTCAGGTACGTATACATTTGTCTTTTCATAGTTTAGTGTCATTTTATATCTGTATTGTGTGTTTACTTTTGTTTTTCCATCAATTTGTGCTACTTTGTAATCTTTTAAAAATCTTTTTCCATATTTGCACCATTTTACATCACTAATGGAAGACTACCACACTTTGTGGTTCTTTTGATCTTTTTTGCTAATATAGTGTTACTTCACATCATTTTCTGTCTCTTTATTTGCTTATTACATTAACTCATAAACTGTTGGCTGAAAGTAGAGGAATGTGTGACTCATGATTGTACCAGCTTCTAGTTTTGTCCATCATCTTTATTTATGTATAGGTTTTACTTATTGCTATTGTTTAGTTTAATTGTAGCACATAAATTATGAATATTCAGTAGCTGTAAGTAAATGGGGGGGGGGACACACCACTATTAATGAAAACTTTAAATACTTAGCTATTATTTGGTAATTTAAATTCAAATTCAAATTCAAATTTTATTTGTCACATACACACACAACCATACACAGTATGACATGGGGGTGAAATGCTTGTAGCTGTACAATGCCCGACCATTAAATGACAGAAGAAAAGTTTTACAATATTTACAATTTACTACAAAAATTTACAAATTAACTTAGGAATTTACAGTAAAGAATGTGCAAATAGCAGAAGAGATTATAAAGATAAGGATTATAAATTATAGGAATTATAGGATTATAGGAAATGTGTGGTGGTGCGTGTTGTGATGTGTGTGAGAGTCCAGTCTTATAGTGACGTGTTTGGGAGAGTCCAGTCCTACACCTGGTTCAGGCCCCGAATAGCCTGGGGGAAGAAGCTCCTCCTCATTCTCTCTGTTTTGGCCTTAAGGGAGCGGAAGCGCTTCCCAGACCTCAACAGTGAGAAGAGTCCATTGTTGGGATGGGAGAGATCCATCATAATCTTCCTAGCTTTGGACTTGCACCGCTTGGTGTAGATGGACAGCAGGTCAGGGAGCTCTGATTGAATGATGCGTTCGGCTGAGCGCACCACCCTTTGCAGATCTCGTCTGTCCTGCTTGGTGCTGTTCCCAAACCAGGTGCAGATGCTTGCCGTCAGGACGCTCTCGATGGTGCAGGAGTAGAAGTTCTTGAGCACCTTCAGTGGCAGATGGAAGTCTCTAAGTCTTCTGAGGAAGAAGAGACGCTGACGGGCTTTCTTAACCAGGGTGTTGATGTGACAGGACCATGACAGGTCCTGAGTGATGTGGACACCCAGGTATCGGAAACTGTCCACTCTCTCCACTGGCGTGCCACTGATGATGAGGGGTTTGTAATTCCTCGCCTGCTTTGTAGTGAAGTCCACGATCAGCTCCTTAGTCTTGCTGATGTTTAGGAGGAGGTTATTTTCCTGGCACCAGGTCTCCAGGTTCCTAATCTGCTCCAGGTAGGCCGTCTCGATGTTGTCGGAGATCAGGCCCACAACAGCAGTGTCGTCAGCAAACTTGACAATGGAGGTGGTGTCGGATGTGGCTACACAGTCATAAGTGTACAGTGAGTACAGCAGGGGGCTTAAAACACAGCCCTGAGGCACTCCAGTGCTGAGTGAGATGGAGGGGGAGATTTGTTTTCCTACCCTCACTGATTGGGGTCTGTCTGTGAGGAAGTTGAGGATCCACTGACACAGTGATGAGCTGAGTCCTAGATCCGTCAACTTGGTGAAAAGCTTAGAGGGAATTATTGTGTTGAATGCTGAACTGTAGTCCACGAACAGCATCCTAACATAATTCCCTCTGCCAGTGTCCAGGTGACTCAGGGATGTGTGGAGCAGGTGAGATATGGCATCGTCTGTGGAACGATTAGTCCGGTAAGCAAACTGAAGTGAGTCGATGGTGAGAGGAAGTGAAGAAGTGATGTGATCTCTCATCAGTCTTTCAAAACACTTCATCACAATTGAAGTCAGTGCTACTGGACGGTAGTCATTGTGGCAAGCGGGTAAAGACTAGTAAATAGTAAAGACTGTGTTACCTGTTTGGAAACAAAAAATGTTTTAAAACTGCTAGCTGCCATTTGAGTGATTAAAAGGTAAAAGTCACATGGGTGCTCATATTCATGTAAGGGTGACTGCTCCTGTCTCGTTAGTTGGAAGACTTCTGATCAGGGAACAAAATGTGTATTAAAACAGATCACTGGTACATAGAAAGTGGCATACAAAAAACCTCCAAAACAGCAAAGTTTGCTCACACACAACAGAAGAATACCTTGTAGTTGGTGTTGCTTTAATCCCTGGAGATTTACATAACATGTGGGCGGAATTTACAGAGGAAAGTATGCGGGTAGAGTTTAAAGTCCACCAGAGAGGCCAGGTGCACCTGCAGACTCAAACTCTGTGCTTTCTGCCCACTTTTTTTCTGAAAGCAATGAAAATCTGCTGGATTAAAGGCCTTTTTGTGTTTTCACATGTGCCCTTACTTCCGAGTTTTCCATGTGTGCAAGAATATTATGATGAAGTGGATCTCTTCCACTCATTTCCACATTAATCCTCCTCCTTTTTATTTCTGACTCCACTAGAGTAGCTAAAAAACATATTTATTATTGGTTACTCATTTATCTCAGCAGACGCCCATTTGGGAAGAATGCATTACACTGAGAGTTGCTGTTTTATACACTGTAGGTTATCTAAACTACAGGAAGTGCAATGTTCTTCAAGACATTTCTGCTCTGTTGTTCTGCATTTTTGCCTTTGCTCCTGTGAATGTTACTCCTAAGCTATTACATTAGGGATATCTGCTGCCTTTGACTTCACAGAGACTTTCTAGCGCCTGATCTTTGGCTCACATACTCATGAATATTTTGAACCTTTGGCCATGTTTAATATAAATATCCACCGTTCTACGGCATTTAAGAAAATATGGAAGAACATAAAGGAGGATGAAAGGCCTTACTCCCCTGGCAGCCCTTCAGTGTGCTGAAATCAGAGTATATGTTTGTAGATTATCTATTACCCTATCAGGAGTAAGTGTTCTTTCCTCCTGCATGTGCATTTACAATTTAATGCACAAACTTATAGTCTACGCCCACGTGTGACACCCCGTCTTAAACCCCGCCTCCTCTTCCTGGCTGCAGTCAACGAATCCAGTCGATGTCCATTAATTTAGGCCTTTACTAAAATTCACGAACAACAAGGAGAAGCGGTGGAAATAATCGTCAAGAATAAGAGAGAGAAACTTGTCTCCACAAAGCGAACAGGTGGAACTTTGTCACACCCTGTTGGAACTAATTCAGGACAAAATCGTCTCTTCGTGGTGTACGTTTCGAAGGTAACAGAGGACAGCGGTTATTTTTACATGTGGCACTTGAACGCAGCACGCTTCTATTAAACCAGTAGTTCCCAAACTTTTTGCTGGACCCTCCTTTGTTTTACAAGAAAATGTTGCCCCCCGCACACACACGCACGCACGCACAACACATCCTCCAACCACACACACCCATATTTTGCTCCATTGCGGTTTATTTCACACCTCAAACATTTAGTAAACAATTAAGCAAATACAAGTAATCTGCAGGTAGTAAGAAAATAAACTACTAACTCTTTTACGCTGCGTCCGCACGTACACGGGTGATTTTGAAAACGCAGCTGTTTCGTCCACACGTAAACGGCGTTTGGAATCACCGAAAACTGAGATTTTTTTAAAACTCCTTTTTTGGGTTTATGTGTGGACGAGGAATACAGAGTTCGTCACGCAACATTAAAGGTATGTGCCTTTTTTCACGTCACACTGTGCGCCACGTTATTGTTTACATGAGATGAATTGCAGAATGGCAGATAGTAGATTAAAGTACTTTGTCTCTATCTTCAGGTTTTACACACTGTCCTCTATTTAGAAAGGCAGAGGCGTCACGGTGTAATTATTTTACATGTAGTTTTTTTTTTCCTGTGTAATAATATTCAACATTGCTATCAATACATTTTTCAAAAAATGCCTCTCTGTGCAAAATGGGTTTAAAAACATAAACAGCTGTGGGATACTGTTTGTCGTGATTTGAACCGGGGGAACAAATCGTGGCAGGATCAGCCTGATATTATTTGTATCCCACTGTAACTTTACTGTATAAAGAGCTAACATCTCCAAAATGTCAGGAGTAGTTAGTTTATTACAACAAGTGTTTGTGAACTAAAAATCAAGAATGTGGGATACTGTTTGTCCGTGATTTGAGAGCCCAGCGCTGCTCCCGACGCAGGGAAAACCAATTCTGCAGGGGAGACCTACCTTGGCACTTGTGCAGGTGAAGACCAAAGGGAAGATATGCTTCACCATATTTTCTAGTCTTTGGCTTAGAATGAAGTTGGTTTGGAAACATATTCAGCTATGCTTCATCTCCTGCTTTGCGTTTGTGTAGGCGCCCCATGCTAGCAGTGTCCAAGCGTTGTTTTGTTTTTCCCTGTTCATGCCGCGTCCCCCCGGGTGCGGGCCCCACACTTTGGGAAGGTCTGTATTAAACTGAGATTGGTTTTTAATATAATTAGGGGAGTTTACTTGGGTGGTGGCCCAACCGCTGACTTTTAGGGTGGAGTTGCACGCTGGGTCTTGGGGTCCTGGCTACATTCGGCTAAGCTAGCACGTACCTGCAGCCGAACTTTAACAGATAAAACGCTACCTTCAGTTAGGGTGAAAAGTTTATCGTGTTTCTACTTGTCAGACACAGAAATGAGCGCGCTGAGGTGTTTTAGCTTTAGCAGAGGGGCTCTGTGGTCTGTTAGTAGGCCTCACCTTCAGCAGTGTACTCCTACCAGCCGCAGGTGGATTTCTGCCTGACTGCTTTCTGTTTCCAGTGCAAGAAGGAAACAGCTCAGGCTTCCATCTGTAATTGAGACAACATGACTGTGTATTTCCTGTACGAAGTGTAGTTGGATGAGTTAAACACCTGGAGTCATCCAGCCAAAGCAATGGGTAGTGCTCAAGGGACCAGGGGCGGATCTAGAGAAATTTTCTTAGGGTGGCATGAGGGTGGCAAAGAAATCAAATGGGGTGGCAAAATCAAAGCCTTTTTTTCCCCCCAAATATATGTGCAGGTTGTTACATATGGTTAAAATGATTCAAATGCAGTAAGTATACACATTTTTCATATAAATATAGTCTACAACTTAATTACTGTCTGTAGCCCACATAATTAAACACTTTAGTTACATAAAACATGTGAGTTTTGATGCTATGTACTGTATAGCCTGTATAATAAATAAATATGTAGCCCAATAAGTATAAAATCCAGAAAGCTACACAACATTGAGTGGTTCATTTACAAACACACGTCTAACTTAAGTTTCACTGTTTTTTGTTAGAAAACAATCACACTGTTGCATGTTAAATTACACAAAATGCCAGAAATCTGCACTGTCATGAACAAAAATTTAAACCTAATTTTTCATGATTTGTTGGATTAACCCACTGAGGTCTGAAATACAACCGGCCATTTTTGACTCCTTTTGAGTTTACGTTTGTATTTCACCATCAGATTGTTTCATTTTTTTTTTTTCCCCTTGTCTTGTTTGGTATCTTTTCAGCTCAACTGAATTTAGTTGTTTTTTTCACTGACATACTGCATTAGTACTACTATTACTATTAATAGTACTATTACTGATCTGAAATCACACAAAGAACTTAAAATCCTAGTTGTATTTTTTTACTGTAAAATAGAGAGTCAGCGTGGCTGCAGCTTGTTGCTATGTCAGCTTACATCAGTCATGTGATTTGGAGGTGCAGTGTCCACAGAGGGTTAATAACAGTCACCTTCCTTCCATTTCCAGAGTGTAACATCCAACCACCTGTGTAAAAAGCGAAATTCCCATGGTGTTAATGAACTTTGGCCATCAGTCCAGAACATGAACTTTGAACATGAACCATGAACTTTACCCTGTCTGTGTTACTCAGTTGTCACAGTTTCTCTCCACAGACTGTTCTCAGCCATGACCCAGGTCGTTCCTCCGATCCTCTCCGTCACCCCGAGTCGGGCTCTGGTTGATGAGAAGTTTAAAGTGTTGGTGGAGAATCTTCCTCCGGGATGTCCGGTAACCGTCCGCTCCCTCCATAACTCCGAGGACAAGCACGACTGGGAGGCTTATGGGCACTACGTCAGTGACCACAGTGGTGTCGTGTCAGGTGGGCTTCTTTGTTTTCCTTTTTTTTTTAAACTTACCAATACAAAAAAAAAAAAAACCAAGTACCTGAAAAGAATAATAAAGTAAACCATTGAACAGATGCATAAGAAGCTGACGTTAAAAATTATATTTGTACATTCACACATAATTGCTATAATCAAAGTCATATTTAGTTTGCCATTTATGAAGCAGGAAGCATTGAATCCATTCCAGCTCCTTTGGTGTAAATCAAAGTGACGACAGGTAATCTGGAGATGGATACCTGCAGCTCATTTAGGTTGCACAGGTAGTCCAGCTGAAGGCTTCCTGTGTCCCAGAGTCTGACATAATGCAACAGATGTACTCCAGTGGGATTTTTGTTTTTTTCCTCTACATAATCTTTAAATTCAACCAAATACTTTTTGGTCTTACTTTTGGTATTACTATTACTTTTATTACTTTTTTTTTTTACATTTTTAACTAAAATCAGTGAGTGTTATTGAAAAAGGTGTTTTACTTTTGATGTTTTTGTTGCACATGTTCTATTGAACTGTAAATGACATAAAAAAATGTTATCTCACTTTTAATAAAGCAAATAAAACGAAAAATAAATTGCTCCCCCCCCCCTTGCAGTATCAGAAGATTTAAGTTACGGAGGCACATACACAGGAAAAGAGCCCATGGGTTTGCTGTGGAGCATGCGGCCCGTCCCGGGCAGCCGCCCAGGCCTCAGGTAACACATTCAATCTTCTAGTAAATCTCGTAGCATGGCTCTATAAATGACTTTTAATTACTGGATCAAAATTTGTACTCCAGGCTTTTTCCCCAGTGACATCATCGGTCTGCATTAAATCCCAAACAGCAAAGGTAGTCTGGACATACTTCAGTCCAGATGTGTTACATATCTAGATAGAAATTTGACGACTAATCTGCCAATTTTTCTCTGATTAATCGATTAGTCAACAATTATTTCAATAACTCTTATCACCTTTTCTTGTGGGCAAACCTCCTGTTCTAGGCTCCAGTACCTCACCTGCTTAAGACTGCCCATTTGTGAATATCACCCTGTTGTCTCATCCCACAGCAAATTAAAACAATCACTCATATGAATTTGAAAATAATCAAACGTATTTTTAACATTATTCAACAGGACTCTCAGATTAAAAACGAAATAAATACAAATGTTAGGTAATAAAGATTAAAGTGCTAGAAGTATTTAAAAAATAAAAATGCTAAATGGAACCTAAATGGGTTCTGCACATAAGTTCAGTTAAAGCTTCAAATTAAATAAAAAAGATTTTATTTTCCGGTCCAAAATAAAAAGTTTCCAGATAATTCAGTTCATGAATTCACGATTGCAGTATATGCTCTGGAGTGACGCTTGCTTTTGAGATGATGTTCCCAGCTGCTGATAACCATGCTGAAGATGCTCTCGGTAATGACTTCAGCTATTTGAGACATGCAAGAGCCTATGAGCTGTAAGACGGTGTAGTTACTCCTGTTTAATGGTTTACTATCACATTTCCCTCATTAGCTAACAAAACTGAACTGTTTTGCTGCTTGCACTTCGCTCTTTGTTAGTATTGAGTGCAGTCTTGGCAGATGATATAGGCAATACTTCCTCCCATAGCTTCCTGGAGTGTATTGCAGTTACAAAAACACATTTACCCGATTTGAAAATATAACGCATCAACAAATTTTTATAGTCAACATAATCTATTATCGCAACTAATCGTTGCAGTCGTAGTGTGTTATCTGGCTTCATCGATGGATAAAGTTGTGTGTCATCTGCATAGCAGGAAAAATGCATGCTACGCCTTCTAATGATACTGCCTAAAGGAAGCATTTAGAGTGTAAATCTAATCAATGTGAAAACAGTCCCCACTTCTGGCAATCCAGTTATTGTGGCGTGAGTGAACTTATCAAAAGTTCCATGGCGATCTGCTGCACCTCCCCTGTCTCTGTGGCTGCCGTGCTCTGTCAGAAAATGACTAATTGCTGATGCAATACCGCTTGACAGTCCATTGATTTAGCATTGTGGCCTCACTCAATCCATTCGACAGCAAGTCAGCTACTTTGTTTTGTTTTGTTATCTTGTTCTTAAGTGATGACGTATGAACCCTGCTTCCAGGTCCAAATTACTCTGCGTTTATTAAGGCTGTAGTGTTTTTAACATGTTTTAATGTTTTGTATCTTCTTCTATTTAATCTGAACAAGCCCCTAAAAAAAAGTCAGTGATCACTTTCAGCCTCTCAGTTTTTGTTACCACTGTTCATTTTAATGCTCAGTTTTTAAAGCCTTACAATGTAACCACAGCCCAGCCTATGCAGCAGTATATTAATGACTAACCTCGTATTGTGGATGGATTATTACTACAAACAAAAAAATCAATGGGAAGGGACATCTGAAGATGTCCATGTAGTAAGGTCTAAGATATGATGGGGCCTGATCATTCAGGACTTAATATATGTATCTTCCCTAGGGTTTAATACCCGGGACTCACCACCATTTGATCTTAGAACTGAAGAAGCTTCATGGATGAGAGGTGAAACATCTTCAGCACACCTAAAGAAGTTCAGCTGCTTTTCTTCCCAAACTCCTTAGATTACCATGATCTGGATGACAGAGAACATACACAGACCTCTAAAGTAAATAGTATTGGTCCTACTACAGAACCCTGTTGAACTCCATAACTAACTTTTGCTTGTGTAGGCTACTTTTTGTTTAATCTGTCAGGTAACTCGTGTCATTATTGGCCAGGTTAAGGAAGATGAATGTGTGCACACCCATGCTGGTCACCATCTCGGTCCACAGTGGACACGAGGGCTTCAGGGACCAGGCCCCTCTAGCCTCAGTCCTCACAGAGAGATGGTACATGGCCCCTGGCATCCAGAGGATCACTATTAATGAGCAAGGAGTGCAAGGGACTCTGTTTATACCTCCAGGTACACCTACAGCACCTGTAATGACACTTTTATTCTCTTAAATACGTATTTTGTTGATTTTATTTTTTCAGAGTGGCTGGGGTTTTTCTTTCATAATGGTGAAATGTAAATTTTAAAAATCCGTTCTGCTTTTCCTTAAAATATATTCTCATATTAAACATGGCTAAAGGTAAAAAATAAATAAATAAATAAATAAATAAATAAAAATCAGCCTGTGTACAAGTAACATGTAAAAAAATAAAAAGCAAAAGCTCAGGCTTCAAGCTTCAAGCTGATCTAAATGCTGTGGCATTGAAACATGCGGGCAGGGCTTGTGTGCCTGGTGTGACCATATTAGTGAATTCCTCTCTTTCTGACAATATACAGATCCAAGAGTAGGAAAAAAATCCACCTGATGTCCGAGTTTTTAGCTCACAAGGATGACTTGAACCAAAGTAATTTTGTCCTGTTTGTCTGACTTCAGGTCCTGGACCGTTTCCTGGGCTGCTGGATATGTGGGGAGGTGGTGGAGGGCTGCTGGAGTATCGTGCTGCCTTGCTCGCGTCTCACGGTTATGTTTCTTTGGCGCTGGATTACCTCGGATTTGACCAGGAGTCTGAAAATTTGGAATTGAAATACTTTGAGGTTTGTGTGACAGGTCACCATCCAAAATTATGAATTAAGGCGTTCCAATCACTTTCATGGCCACAGGTGTATAAAATCAACCAGCTAGGCATGCACACTGCTTAATTAATAAAAGAAAATGGGTTGCTCTTAGGATCTCAGTGAATTCCAGCATGGTACCATTATAGGATATCACAAGTCCAGTTGTGAAATTTCCTTGCTACTTAAATATTTCACACTCAACAACAGCAACTTAGCCATAAAGTGGCAGGCCTCAT